GGCGTTGGGTTGTCCGGACTCGGCGTCATGGGCACTGTGGGGTTCTGCCCATAGTTCAGGTAGAACGGGGACTGCTGCGTCGTGGCTGATGTGGCGTTGTTGTACGCGAACTCGATCAGCGGCAGCTGCTGCTCCCAGGTCGTGGGGTCGTCGCACGTGGCACGAATCAACTGCTCCATCGTCTGATTCGTCCGCTCCGTTTGGCCGTCGGTCTCGGGGTGGTACGACGAACTGAACTGTAGCCTGGTCCCGAACTGCTCCCAGAGGTTCTTCCAGAAGTTGCTGGTAAACTTCGTGTCCCTGTCGCTGATAATTGCTGCTGGTATCCCGTGCAGGCGAACAACGGCTGCGATGAACAGGCGAGCGGTCTCTTCGGCTGAGATCGACTTTTTGCACGCAGCGAAGTGTGCCATCTTCGTCAACCTATCCACGACGACCATCACCGCGTCGTTACCCCCAGGGTTCGAAGGTAACCCTGTGACGAAGTCCATGGTTACTTGCTGCCAGGCGCGTTCGGGCGGTGGGATCGGTTGCAATTGACCCGCCTTCCGCTTCCTTGAACTCTTCATCACCTGACACGTCGGGCACGAGCCCACGTGCTGCTGTACGTCGGTCAACAGCTCCGGCCAGTAATAGTACCGCTGCAGTTGCTGTCGTGTTTTTTCTACCCCGAAATGTCCCGAGGTAATCCCGTCGTGTGCCTCCTGCAGTAGCAGCTCCCTCAGTAGTGAGTACGCGGGTACCCAAATGCGGTTGGTGCCTGTTTTTACGTAATAAACTCCTTTTGCTTCTGCCAGTTGCTGTGAATTTCCGGTCGTGAAAAATGGGTCGGTGCGGTATCCGTGGGTGAATAGGCCAGTTAAAAGCGGGTTGGTCTGGGCGAGTAGGATGGCGTGGAGTGGGCGGTGGGGCGGGTGAGAGCGTCGGCGATGTTGGATGCTCCTTTTTTGTACGTGACGGTGTAGTGAAAATTGGACTCGAGATAGTCCAACCAGCGAATCTGTCGTGGGTTGAGATTCGGTTGGGCGCGAAGGTACTGTAGCGAGCGGTGGTCTGTCCGTACTGTCACGTCGGCACCAGTCAGGTAACATCGCCAAACTTTGAACGCGTGCACGATCGCTAGCATCTCGCGGTCGTGTATCGGGTAGTTACGTTCGGGCGGGTGTAACTTGCGGGACTCGTACGCGATTGGCTGGAGGCCATTCCCGAAATCCTGCAACAGTACTGCTCCCACAGCGATGTCACTTGCGTCGGTGACGAGCTCGAACGGACGGTGGGGATCTGCAATGTGAAGGACGGGCGGGGAGCACAAAATATTTTTGAGGGCCGAGAAGGCAGCTTGCTCTTTCTCCCCCCACGTGTACTCAACCCCCTTCCTCAGCAGGTCAGTCAACGGGGCAGTCAGTTTCGCCATGTCGGGGACGAACCGGCGCACGTAGTTGACGAACCCCAGGAAACTCTGCAACTCGGTCAAGTTGGTCGGCGCGTGCCAAGCCTGAATCGTCGCAATTTTCTTCGGGTCTATTTCCACTCCTGCAGCTGAAATAACATGTCCCAAAAACTCCAGGCGGTCCTGTAAAAACTCACACTTAGATGCTTTGGTCAGTAGGCGGTTCTCACTCAGGATTTTAAAAACTGCTTCGATGTCTTGTAAGTGCTGTGCTCTGTCAGGGCTGTAAATCAGTATGTCGTCCAGATAAACGATGACGCACTTATCTAAAAGCGGGCGGAATGCTTCGTTCATGGTCATTTGGAAAGTGGCGGGGGCGTTGGTCAGTCCGAATGGCATGACGGTGTATTCGAAGGATCCGTAGCGTGTTCGGAATGCGGTTTTAGGGCAGTCGGGTGGGTTGACGCGGATTTGGTGGTAGCCTCCTCGGAGGTCGATTTTCGAGAAAACCCGGGCTGTGCGCAGTTGGTCGATCAGGTCGTCGGCTCGTGGGATGGGGTAACGGGATTTGATGGTAACCCTGTTCAGTGCCCTGTAGTCGATGCACATGCGAAAACCCCCGTCCTTTTTCGGTGTGAACAGTATTGGTGCGGCGAAAGGCGACGAACTAGGGCGAATGAATTCCTTTTCTAGCAGGTAATCGAGCTGCTTCCTTAGTTCGTCTAGTTCGGGTTGGGTCAGTCGGAACTGTCGCTGTACTGTTGGCTGTGCCCCCGGTTCCAGTTCTATCCTGTGATCGTGCGGTCGCTGAGGTGGCAGTCCCGTCGGCAGGTCATCCGGGAAAATGTCACTGTATTGTTGTAACAGTGCCGCCAGGTCACTCGGTACGTCGGTCAGCAGTTTCTGTAAATCGCCTCCCTTGTCTGCTGCCTCGGCTTCCCGAATGTCAACCGCGTACACGTCGGCTCCGGCCGCAACAGCGCGTTTCATCGTGATCGCATTGACACGCACCGACGAAGACTCAGGCGAGCCCCAGCGAGGTAAGGCGATGCTGTTACCGTTCACTCGCACGGTGCAGTCACCCGTCGTCCAGTCAATTCGCGGGTTGTGTCGTCGCAGCCAATCACGCCCGAGTAAAATGTCGGTTCCGTCGAGGGTCGTTGCGAGCATTTCCTGACTAAACGTGAAGTTACCCCCGCATCGAATCCGAACTCGGTCTACGCGTTCCCGTATTGCCAGCGGCGTGCCGTCTACCAGTCGTGCGTCGATCTCAGGTAAGCATCGGTCCAGTGGCAGTCGCAGTTTTCGTGCTGTAGCAGTGTTAATGAGGCTGTGGCTGGCTCCCCCATCTACGAAGATTTTAACTAAGTCCGTCCCAATTTTCCCACTGAGCAGTATAGGGCTATCTACCGTGGTACCCTCCTTATTCGGCCGGGTGTGGTCGATTGCGTGAACCGGCACAATCACTCGGTGAGGGTCGGTTGGGTCGGGCGAGCGGCGTGACCTGTCAGTAGAGGGCCCGTCTGCTACTGACTTCCAGCGTTTCCCTGCTGCTTGGTCTGTGTCTGCTGCTCAGCTTCCCCCTTTCCCTTAGCGTTTTCCGGGCATTCGCTCTTGCGATGTCCCGGCCGATTGCACGCAAAGCAGCGCCCTTTGAACGGTGCGGCAGCGGCATTTGCGGCGACGGCGCGTATCGTGGCGCTCTCGTTCGTCCCACGAGGCCGATGTCCCCAGGTGTTGTTTCCGTAGGACCCCGGTCTCGGTCGGCGAAAGAAGTCGAGCTTCTCCGCCATAGCGAGAATTTCCTGAAACTCAGTGACGCCGCGAAGCTGGATTTCCTGAGCGATGTCCTGCTTCAGGCCGCCGATGTAGCGGTCGATGCGTTCGCTCTCATGCATGTAGCCCACCTGCTCGCATAGCGCCAGAAATCCGCTCGTGTAATCCTGGACGGAACCGAGTTGGCGCCAAGTGCGGAGCTTCTGTCGCGCCGAGATCGAGGCCGCGATTGGCTCAAATCGAGCGCGCAGACCTGCGCACCACGCGTCCCACGTGCGATACTGGGGCACCTCCACGAAATACGACGGCGCCCAGGGTCCGGTTTGTCCTTCCCGTGTCGGTAGTGTCGCGTAGTCGGTCGGCTTCGTGACGATGACGCGCCACCAGTCCATGGCGGGTCCTCGCAGCAACGACACGGCGTATCGAATCTTCGCCGAGTCCTCCGAGACGTAGTTGGCGTCGAAGAAAACATTCATTGTGAATAACCACGCCTGAACGGTAGGACCACCCCGTTGACTCGGGTCAAAGCATGGCGGGCGCTGCGGTTTCAGCGGCATCGGTGACGGCAGTCCCGAATCGTGGGTTGGTGCCGAAATCGTGACGCGAGGCTGACTTGGGGCCGCAGGCGTCGCTCTGGGGTGTGTCGTGCCGTGGTCGTCGTCTCCGTCGGGGCGGACGACGCCATCACTGGCCGCGCTCACGGGTTGCCCCACACTCCCGTGTTGTGATGTTGAGGGTGCAGGTTGAATCGGAGTGCCAGGTGCTTGGGATTGTGCTCTCATGAGGTCATTTTGCAGTGATGAGCGTTCTGCCGTCAATGCCGCGATTTCCTCGGAGCTTTCGTGCAGTTGTCGCAGCAGATCGTTCAAACGCTCCTGCGTGAGGGTGGTGACGTCGATGTTTTCGGCCATGACGAAGGGCGTCGGCTCGTCTTAGTCTAGGCGCAGTCGTGGCTGCACGCGTTTACGAGAGAACGCGAGGACAGCGGCTCCTAGGGGCTAAGGTGCGTGAGTCCCTTCGAGTGAAAAATCAAAAGTTGATTTCCTGGTGTGCGGAGATGCGCGGTCCGAAAGAAAGGGGCTCTGATACCAAGTGTTACGGGTGCAATGGATCGAGGTAGCGAGAATTGCACTAAGGTGTCAAACGAGTACAAAATGTGAGCGAAGGCATGAGCGAGCATTTATACGCGAAACATGCAAAACGGTAACGCGGTGCGTGCGAACTTGCTAGTGCTACGCTGGAGCGAGGCTCGGGCTAGTCCCGAACCGTAGGCCGATACGGCCATGCCAGCAGTGCGAGGTTTGGTCAAAACAGTGCGCGCGAAGTCGGCGAAGTTCCGTTAGCAGTAACGGGCGAACAGTCGGCTGTTGCTGTACGCGATGTAGTCGGCTCCGTAAGGAATGCCTGAGAAAATTCCTTACACCTTTACACAAAGAAGTCGGTCAATACACCTGCTACGATGGATTCACTCTATGAATTATTATCTTCCGGATTGATACTAAACAGCTCCGAAGATTTGCACTGCAGGGTTCAGGCAAGATTAGCAAGTGTTGAAACTTAAAATATTGTAATTCCAAAAGGGAGTGGCAATGCTGAGAGCCATAATGACCAGGCTACATTCAGAAAACATGAAGTAACTGAATGCCCTGTAAAACCAGGAAAGTCTCCACACTACCTACAAAACACAATTGGCAAACTAGAACGATTGGACCAGCCTGCTGGGATCATACATACAAGCGAGCCGCCAACACCAGACAGCCTGCTATATTGGACCGGCAACGCAATGAATAAATAAACCAAATAGATTGAGACCACAGTGATTCTCAAGCACACATCAAACAGCATTAGTGACTGCTCTTTGAGTGTCCTTCAACAAGGTTGCCGCCTCACCATCAACAGGCAGTGAAGCACTGCGCATGTGCCGCAGCCCGCGCCTGCTATTAATGCGCAGCAACAGCTGCGCCAGCAGCTTCGGGTCGACAGGCTTCTGCAGAACGCCATCAAAGCCACCCGCAAGGCAGCGCCGAGTGACCTCATCATCCACATCTGCTGTCAGTGCCACTATGAGGAGCCGAGAAATGGTGGGGGCTGGAGGACCAGTGGAACAGGCTGGAGTGCTTATGTTACGTTCTGATTTTTCTAATGCTGATGCTTTACCTGTGGCTTCTGAGGTTGATGCCAGGTGAAGGGCTGTGTCGGCCTCGTACGCTCGTATGGCCTCTGTTGCTGCAAAGCTGGAATGCAAAGAATGGAAGCATGGGTGCATGAAGGAGGGAGCAAAGGAGGAGGAAAGGCCAGTATTAAGAAGAATAATTAACCATCTTACTAGAAACGGTAATGTAACTGATATAATATTCGTACTAGCTTCAATACAGTTATAATTATGAAAAATTCTTCTACATATTTCTTACACATACGACTCACCCGTCCATGAGGGGCATCTGCAGGTCCATGAGCACCACATCCACATGCCCATACACATGTCCATCCATGGCCATGTCCATGGGCTGTGAAGCGGCCCCCAAGGCGAGCTTGACTCGCCGGAGCGCCTCCTCCCCGCTGGCAGCGGTGGTGACGGTGGCACCGCTGCGAGTGAGAGTGCGGCGCGCCACCACCAGATTCACCGCCGCATCGTCCACCACCAGCACGCCCACCCCCCCTAGCAACCCCCCACCCTGCTGCACCGCACTCAACCACTTGGCTGCCTGCACACCCACCCGCTGCAGCACCACAGTTCCTCCCTTGCCTGCCTGTGATCTCCCACTCCCTTGCAGCACCTCACTGCCCTGCTGCAGTGTTGAATCCGCCTCCCAGGCTGAATGGTCAGCATCGGGGGCTGGTGTGGCCGCACTCCTCTGCAGCTCCCTCATTCCTTGTACTTCTGCATTCGCTTCGGCAGCAGCGGCCGGCTTTCTATTGGTCCTGAGACTGCTGATTTGGCTGCTGGGTGCATCACCGGCTGCTGCAACTGCACCATCCACTCGCACTCGTGCCATGCCACTCAAACCCTGCGTGATTTGACCCTCATCTTGCCCTGCATCCACATTGCCCCTCCTTGTAACGTGGGTGCTGCCATTGCACAAGCTCGCAGCACCCAGTTCAGTACACCTCAGTTGCACCCCCAGACCGCCCTGCCCCTCACAGGCCCTGTTTCCCTGGTATGGGCTGTTGACGCCGAGTCCAAATGCTGCCATCTGGATTGAGTAGCGATGGGTGAAGGGCAGGGCATGAGAAAGGAATGAAAGAGGCAGAGGAGGGGCATGATAAAAGGGAGTGTCACAAGTATAGAGAAGGAAATAAAACCGCAACGACCGAGAGAGCAGAAGGTAATCTGGGAATTCTAGACAGATGGCAACAGAGGCTCACCTGATGGCAACAGAGGCTCACCTGATGGCAACAGAGGCCTACCTGAACGGCGTGGTGCAGATGGTGAGAGAGCAGCGGGCGGCGACAGGTGACCACCCGGGGTGGAATGGTAGCAGAGACACAAGGAGGAGAGGAAGAAGGAGCAGCGGCAGAGGCAGAGGCAGAGGCAGAGGCAGCGGCAGTGGCAGCGGCAGCGGCAGCGGCAGTAGCAGCTGTATGCAATGATCGTTGCATCTGCGAGTGCATCTGAGGTTGACCTCTTTTCATTCCCACCTCCTCATCACTTTGCTCCTCTATTCCCTCTTCCATACTTCTGCTCGCCCCCTTCTCTCCATCCTCTTCCTCCCCTACACTCACTTCCTCTACCTCTTCTCCTTCCTCCACCCCGTCCCATACCCCCATTGCCTCTCTACCAGAGCAGTTCGTCAGAACAACCACCCCCACCACCATCCCTTGCACCCCTCTCATAGCCCGCATGCCTGCCTGCCACACCGCTGCCTCCCAGCTGCTTCCCCGTGCACCTTTACAAGCTGCATCCTCTCCTCTCCTGCCTGCCCCTGCCGGCACCAGAGCCACCACAGCCCCTCTCTCTCCACCTGCCCCACTCCCTTGCCCATCCCTCCTCCACCACCGATCCCCACCGCACTCCACACCATTCCCACCATTCCTAACACTCTTACATGCACCATTTTCAGCAGCTTCTCCTATTTCTCTCACGTACCCTCTCAGCAAATCTGCATCCTCAACCACCACCACCCAAGAAGTGCTTTCCCTCATTACCTCTCCTCCCTTGATCCCCTCTGCTCCCTCGTCTCCCTCTAAACACCTCCTTTCTCCTCCCTCTGACCACATCCCCTTTTGTCTTCCCTTGGCCCTCTCTCCTTCTCCATCTAAACACATGCTCTCTCCCTCTCCCTCAATATTCTCTCCTTCACCTTCTCTCCCTCGCTCTGGCTCGCTCCTAAGCGTTGGAAGAGTGCGCACTTGTGCTCGGAGACCTGATAGAATGCGAGACGTGAGCTGAAGAGGGTACAAGGCAGAGGGAGTGGCCTGAAAAATTGAAGGGATAGGCTTGCCAAGATACGAGGGATGAAGGAAAATTTGGATGAAATATATATAGAAAACTCCTACGAAGGGGCCAAGAATGCAAAGTAAGGGAGGAGGAGGGTATGTGCAGCAAGAGAATGAACGCAGCAACTCCCTCCCACACATCCCTCCCACACATCCCTCCCACACATCCTGCCCCTCCCACCCACACTACCTCACACTCCCTCCCTTTATTTGCTCAGTGCTCACCTCTCTCTTGACTTTATCAGATGCCACCACGCCCACTGCCAATCCCTCCAAACCGCCAATTGGAGGAGCGGGGGAGTGAGTAATGGTTGTAAGAGAAGTGGGAGGATGGGTGACGTGAGAGGGAGCGGCGGGGGGCGAGGGGGGCGAGGAGAAGGGGACGGAGAAGGCGAAGGTTGAGCCGATGCCGGGATGAGACAGGCAGGCCACATGGCCGCCCATGAGGGTCACCTTTGGGGAGGAGAGATGGCGGAGGGAAGGAGGGAAGGGGCAAGCAAGCAGTGAATGGCTTGACCACGGCTTAAGCACAAGTGGAGCAGATAAACACCAACTTAAATTGGCTCAATCAATATGAGCGAAACAAAATAATAGAATAATGAATGGCTCACTTTATGTTCCAAAACCCCGTGGCCCATTTGAACGTGGTGACTTTTGAGTCGACTCAAAAGTCACCTTTCAACGGATCTGATTCATTGAAAAGCGCAAGAGCCCTTATCAAAGATCCATGAACCATGACAATAAACTCCTTACAAGGGATGAATCAAGAGTGACTGTCTCAAGAGCCTCAATCACTAGGGGAGTGCAAAGAGCTCTCACCACTAGGGGAGCCTCAATCACTAGGGGAGCTCTCACCAGTTGGTGCGTGAGCGCAAGACCCAGCCCCGCTCCTCCACTCTCTGTCCGCCCCTGATGAGGAACACAGGAAACAGTTCCGCAACCAGAAGTGAGCTGTTGACAAGATATCTCAAAAACAGTGAAGAATCGAAGTGAGTGGGTGAAACTATATTTCCAAAGCAGCCAAGCACCGCACCAAAAGTGAGCGGGGGCATGCTAAGCTTCTTGCTTCTCCTCCTCCATGCCGCACCCCGTATCCTCACACAACACCACCACCAGTTGCCTGCAGTGAAGTTTATGAGACGTCTAAAAGATTCATTCACTGTATATCCGTATCCTCACACAACACCACCACCAGTTGCCTGCAGTGAATTTTATGAGACGTCTAAAAGATTCATTCACTGTATATCCGTATCCTCACACAACACCACCACCAGTTGCCTGCAGTGAATTTTATGAGACGTCTAAAAGATTCATTCACTGTATATCCGTATCCTCACGCAACACCACCACCAGTTGCCTGCATCCTCTCAGTCTCACCCACTCGCGCCTCCAACTCACCCACACCATAGGTATTCATCCACGCTTCCTCACCTTCAACTCAAACAGCCCCTCTTGCTTCTCCTGTTCCATGCCACACCCCGTATCTTCACATGACACCACCAGCTGCATCCCCTCACTCTCACTGCACTGCACCCACTCCCTCACCCACTCCCTCACCCACTCCCTCACCCACTCCCTCACCCACTCCCTCACCCACTCCCTCACCCACCTCACCCACCTCACCCACCACACCCACCTCACCCACAGGTAGAGTCATTCCGTCCCCAGTTCCTCACCTGCAACTCAAACATCCCTTCCTGCTTCTCCTCCTCAATGCCACACCCGGTATCTTCACACGACACAACCAGCTGCATCTCCCCACTCCCACCGCTGCACCCACTTTCCCGCCGCTGCATCCCCCCACCTCCTTCCCAACCCTCCTCCGAATCCCCCTCTCCTCCATCCCCCCTCGTGACCCCACTCACTCCCTCAGCCGCCCACAGCCTTATACCAGACAAGCACCCTCCTACTGCATCAGCAGGCAAGCACCCTCCTCCTCCTGCGTCTGCATTGCCTTGCGCCGACACCTCCCCACTCTCACTGCTCCCATCGATACTCTGGGCTATCCTCTGGTCGTGTATCTCATCCAATCTCTGACTGCTACGCTGAGCTATTCTCTCATCATCACTTCTCTGGAAGGCACTCTGGTGGCTACTCTGGTGGTAAGAGCTCTGGTTGGTTCTCTCCTCCTCAGTGCTCTCAGCAGTGGTTTGGTCACACGAGAGGCTGCCCTGGCCAGGCGTGAGGAGAGCTCTGGTGCAGAGAACAAGGCAGGAAGGCAGGCGGGCAATGAGGCTGGTGAGCCAGGAGAGGAACGACGGAGGGGGAGGAGGAGGCGAGGGAGGGAGAGGTGCGTCTGAGGCTTCTGAAAGAGGGGATTAGGGAGAGACGATGGGATTGGGGAGGGGGGAGGAGTCGGATGTTAGAAATAGAAAGAGAGATGGGTAGGGCAGCTTGTCTTGGTAACCACAAACTTAATTTGCCAACCAGAGATCAGGGCAGCAGTGCAAAATGTTTCCTCTTGGGCGCCCAAAATCGTCTCAAACCAGCATGGCCCACTGCTGACCAAGCAGAGGAAAATACATGAAAGGCCAGATTTCACTGGTCTAGCTGGTATGGGAGGGAGGGAGCACGACTGACTGATGTGGTCCAGCCAGGGCTTGCTGCAGAGTGGTGGAAGCAAGGGGTTGAATTGAAACTACGCATAAAAAACTCCGTTTGACTGGTCTGGCTGGTATGGGAGGGAGGGAGTACGACTGACTGAGGTGGGCGAGGGCTTGCTGCAGAGTGGTGGAGGCAGCGCATACAGACACCCTCAGCAATACGTGTCCGCTTCCCGTGTAGCGCACTGCATTGTCTGGTGGGGATGGGGTCATGGGAGGGATGGGGTGATGGGAGGGATGGGGTGATGAGAGGGATGGGGTGATGGGAGGGATGGGGTGATGGGAGAAATGGGGTGATGGGAGGGATGGGGTGATGGGAGGGATGGGGTGATGGGAGAAATGGGGTGATGGGAGGAGTGGGATGATGGGAGGGATGGGATGATGGGAAGAACAAATGCCCGTTCATGGCATCTGGTCTGGTGACAATTTTGAGATGTAGATACCCTGCCTGTAAACTCTTTGAGTATCGAGAGAGAAATGTGATGTGAGTGAGATATGAGTCTCACCTACAAGCTCTTGGAAAGCTTGTGTGGGCCTCATGGCGTCAACTCCCAACTCCTCAGGCACGTTCTCATCCACCAGTCCCACCACTGCCAGCACTTGCACCACTCACCTGTGAACTCTTGTAGCACTAGTGTGAGTCTCACTCACCTATCAGTTCTTGGAGAGCTTGTGTGAGCCTCATGGCGTCAACTTCCAATTCCTCAGGCACGTTCTCATCCACCAGTCCCACCACTGCCGTGGGGAGATGAGATTGAAAGGAACGGTGGAAGGAAGAATGTATTGGACAAACACCACTGAGAAATGAAGGGCCAACAACATGCCTCCACAGCGCGGAGATCACATCCAAGGATCAACAATGATTCTGCTGAACGGGGAAAACGACCCCTCAGACACAACGCCTTTCCACGACAAAGTGGTGAGGCCAAAAACGCCACAGCATGCCTCGATCATTACACAGTGCCGCCCACACTTCATCCACCACTCACACACTCGCACATTCACATCCTCGTCTATTCTTCCATCCCAATCCTCGCCCCTCAACCACAAACTCACATGCTCGTCCACTGTCCCAGTTCTCGCCCTTCACACACCCACTCACGCTCTAACCCTTTTTGCCGAGCCCGCCAGTAGTTCTCCCCAGCAACGCCCTCCAGCCAAGCCCTTGGGTCAAGCAGCCCACCCGCAGCAGCAGCTCATCCTTGCACAAACGACTCACCCCCCTTTCAGGAGCAACAAAACGCCGCCCAGTGCCTCGACCTCACCGCCCATCTTGTGCGCATCCAGCTTGGACAGATCAAGCACGCGATTCACCAGCCGCACCGTGTCCTCCGCCAATGCCCTCGCCTCCTTCCTCGCACAAACCATTCGCTGTTCAGCCGTAAAAGCATGCCAAGTCCCTCGCCCACACCGTTTTCTTATCACCCAAACACTCACATTCAATCCCCTTCTGGCGAGCCCGCCAGTAGCTCTCCCTGACGATTCCTTCCAGCCAAACTCGCGGGTCAACTGGCGCACAACACAGCCCCATCTTGCGCGCCTCCAGCTTGGACAGATCAAGCACGCGGTTCACCAGCCGCACCGTATCTTCCGCCGACGCCCTCGCCTGCCCCACATCCGCTATTTGAGCCCCGCTCAGCCCCATGTCAGCCAGGGCGTCCAGCAAACCTATAATGCCGATCATGGGCGTGCGCAGCTCGTGGGACATGGACGCCACAAACACACTCTTGGACCGCTCCGCTGCCCGTGCGTTGGCCCGGAGGTGGTCGGCCTGTGCCACTCCCTCTCGGCTTCGCAGGTACCCCACGCGCTGCTGCCATGCCACGGCTACCACCAGGGATGTCAGCACCAGAGCCAGCAACGCCCAGAGGAAAGGAATTCCCCACGATTGCCACGCGTCGGGAGGCTCAGAGTACCTGGTGGTGGGGAGTGGAGGGGAGTTCAGTTGAGAGCGAGCAACCCCATGATGCCCATCAGCTCGTGAGACATGGACGCCACGAACACACTCTTGTACCGCTCCCGCTGCCCGCGCGTTCGCCCGCAGGCGGTCGGCCCGTGCCATTCCTTGTTGGCTGCGCAGGTACCCCACGCGCTGCTGCCATGCCACGGCTGCCACGAGGGTTGTGAGCACGAGGGCGAGTAAAGCCCAGAGGAGGGGCACGCCCCATGATTGCCATGCGTGGGGAGGCTGAGAGTACCTGGTGGTGGGGCAGTGACACAAGATCGAAAGGACGGAACAACGGGAGGTGCTAACAGCAGTATAAGTGTGTTACATATCCTTATGTTTGGTACGAAGAGTAAGCGCGTTATTAATTATGTTTGGTATTAAGTGTAAGCGCGTTACGTACTCCTATGTTTCGTACAAAATATTATTGTGTTACTTATCGGTAAGCTTCGTATTAATCGAAAGTGCATTTCTTATCCTTATGTTTGATACAAAGAGAAAGTGTGATAATGAACATTATGTTAATATTAAGTGTGAATGTGTTATTTACGCTTATGTGTGGTACTAAGTGTAAGTGAGTTACTTATTTGTGTCCAATATATATTGTAAGTGCGTAACTTATACTTACCGTTGGTACTAAGTGTGTTACTCACCGGCACCAGACCTGGTACTGGCGCAGGCGGCCGCCCAGCAGGTCGAGGGGCACGACGGCACGTTGCTCCCAAGGGCGCGTAACGTTGTCGGGCGAGGCGGCAGTGAAGGGTATGATGTCCCTCTCCTTGTAATAAATGAGCCTTGGACCCGGCCCGTAGATCATGGTGGGGGCACTGGGGTCTGTGGTGTCATATGCCTCAAACGTGATCGAGGGGTCTGCAAAGCGGTGATGAGGGGTTGAGAGTGGGAACAAGTGATGTGCAATGGTAGTGAGGTGCGGTGAAGGTTGATGTCCCTTTCCAAGTAGAAGATGAGCCTTGGCCTCGGCCCAAAGATCATGGTGGGCGTGCTGGGCTTCGTCATGATACGCCTCAAACTTGATTAAGGGGTCTACTATTAATAACGTCCAGGGTTGGACGCTGTATCAACTGCTTGCAATGCAAAACTGGAGCCAAAGACGGCTCCAGAGTTGGAGCCAAAGACGGCTCCAGAGTTGGAGCCCTATTGCAGCACCTTCTGCTGCTGCAGTACCTGGGCAAAACACCTTGGTGAGCACGTTCTTGGCGATGGAGGTGAAGTCCACAACCGACCCTGCCCCCCCAATCACCGCCTCCTCTGCCTGCTGCTGCGTTGGGTTCGGCGGCAGCGGGTGCTGCAAGATGGGGAAGCCCACCGCTGGCATGGGGAAGGATGGCAAGGGGGGATGTGGAGAGAGGGAGAGAGAAGAGCAGGAGGCAACGGGAGGAGATGAATGAACGGGAAGAAAGTAGTCCGTCCGTCAAACCACGATGAAGAAAGAAAGTGGTATACGTTTTTTAAATATTCACACTTGCGGCTCTCCAACACCGGTGCAAACATACTTGAGCGCGACGGGTACAGTGCGTCTTTTTCGTATTATGACCTATACAAGAGCATAGTGTTCGATCTGTTTCAGCGCCAGCAGGTTGACATTTCTGGGCTGCATGAGAAATGTCAACCTGTTGGCACTGAAGTAGGTCGAACACCATGCTCCCATATAGGTCATGATACAAAAAGGACACGCTGTACCCATCTCGCTCAAGTATGTTTGCAGCGATCCAACGCACATATCACGCATCCACGGCTCACCAACACTGGTGGGATTGTAGGTGGGATTCCCAACGGGCGATACATCACTGTACCCAACGGGCGATACATCACTGTACCCAACGGGCGATACATCACTGTACCCAACGGGCGATACATCACTGTACCCAACGGGCGATACATCACTGTACCCAACGGGTGATACATCACTGTACCCAACGGGCGATACATCACTGTACCCAACGGGCGATACATCACTGTACCCAACGGGCGATACATCACTGTACCCAACGGGCGATACATCACTGTACCCAACGGGCGATACATCACTGTACCCAACGGGCGATACATCACTGTACCCAACGGGCGATACATCACTGTACCCAACGGGCGATACATCACTGTACCCAACGGGCGATACATCACTGTACCCAACGGGCGTCACGTCACGTCGCTGTACCCAATCTCCCCTGCCCGCCTGAAAAAAGACTCTTCAGACGTCCTTGGACTCACCAACACCTGTGAGGTTGTAGCTGAGGTTTCCGACAGGCGTTACAACGCAATACCCAACCTCCGCGGTGCGTCGGAGGAAGGCGAGCTCGTCGGGGATGCGTTGCACGAGGTCGACGAGGGGGATGGAGGAGCGGTAGTAGTGCAGGTCGATCATCGTGGGGCAGTAGAGCGGCTGGCGCTGCTGCGGCTGCCCTGCCATGTCCGTGATCGGCCCGCCATACTGCCGCTCAAAGGCTGGCCTGCAGTGGGAAGGAAGGGCGCGCACGAGAGAGGCACAGATGGTGGTGCGACGGGATGTGGTGCGACGGGATGTGGTGCGATGGGATGTGGTGCGACGGGATGTGGTGCGACGGGATGCGGTGCGACAGGATGTGGTGCGACGGGATGTGGTGCGACGGGATGTGGTGCGACGGGATGTGGTGCGACGGGATGTGGTGCGATGGGATGTGGTGCGACGGGATGTGGTGCGACAAGAGTGAGGAATCTGTGATTGGCAAGGATGTGTGAGTAACGGGCGTACGGAGTGAAGAGGGTGGGAGAGAGGCAGCAAGGCAACAGGACTGACTAGTGCAAGTGAATGCTTCCCAAAACGAGCTCTAAGGAGACCCCACTCACCCACCCACCCTCCCTCCCACCCACCCACCCACCCACTCACCCACCCACCCTCCCTACCTCCCACCCACCTACTCACCGCTCCTTATCAGTGACAAAGAGGCAGAGCATGGCCCCCGTGTTGCCCGGGCGGGCGTAACCCGTCTTGTTAATGTACTCGTCCCACCGCAGGCGAGTGAAGCACTTGTCCCACGTCCACTTGCCGCCGTCCCTCTTCGGCTTGCCCATCACCGCCACCAGCCCCGCGAATGTCTGCCAGATACGGAAAAGAGAGGTTCACACACAGCCACGGAGAAGGGCTGGTCAGTTAACAGGTTATTAGGGAGCCTGAAAAGCGTCCCTCCCATGGCTTGCCCATCACCGTCACCAGCCCTGCAAATGTCTGCCAGGAATGAGAAAAATGAAAGATTCACAAGGCTCCTGGGAGGGTGAGCAAAAAGCTCCCTGAGACGACCCTTGACGCATCTTGATAATCGCTTCCTAGCGCCCAAAAAAGCGTCCCTCCTCGGCTTATCCATCACCGCCACCAGCCTTGCGAATGTCTGGCAGGGATCGGAACGGGTGATACACATCGCTGCAGGGAAGGGTAGGTTAATAGGTTTGTGAGACGATTCTTTGGGGCCCTCCAAATTCGTTTCTTAAGGCGCTGGAAAAGCTTTCTGTGGGAAATCTTCCTCATCACGAAGATCTGGGATGGATGGATATGCATAGTTAATGTTAGAGTGGCTGATGGTTTGTAATAAGTTCGGTTTCAAATTTGCTGACGGTTGTGCGTGAGTCCTCCCGTGCGCGCGTCTGCAGAATATGTTGCTGTCCTGGATCTATCCAGAATGGATCACAACAGGTTCACACTTCTCTCCATCGCACGGCTGTGCGCAACTCACGCGGATCTGGCTGACGGTGGTGAGAGTGTGTTGCTCGAAGAGCTTGGCGCGCTCGTAGCACCACGTGTCGAGGTGCTGCCACCGCTCGCTCTCGTACGACGCGTGCCGCGAGTAGCACAGCCACGCCGCCATGGACACGCCCGCCAGCACCCATGCTGCCAGGAGAACCGCGAAGATGCGGCCTGCTGGCAGGGGACAATTGGGAGGCGCGTTTGAACAATAAAACTGTCTGACGGAAGAAAAAAAAAGGAAAAGGAGAAACGTGAAAGCTAGCATGTATGCAGCTAGGAGATCAGCCAATGGGTCCTGCCGCGGGTGAAGGAACAGTGCGTGGTGACGCTGTATTATCAGACGGATGAGCTTCTAGGTTTGAGGCGAATCCTGGTGCATATTATGACCAGGGCGCGTAAAAGCTGTTGCATCCGAACTCACTCGGACGCGATACGACCACCAAATACTGATAATGAGACACGTGACGTGGCAACGCCATGAAACAGTTGGGTGAAAGCCCGCTGAAGCGGTTTAGGGCGAGGCGTGCGCGACTCTGGGCTGTTACAACCGACTGGATGAGGGGGAGGTGGTGATATCATGGTGAAACCCTAAACGTCGCACCTAGCAGCAAATGCATTACCACGCCGTCGTAGAGCATATAGTGCCACTAATACACACGCCGTCGTAGTGAGCCAAATCATAAGCGATATTGATGAATGGGAGCCTTTCGCGCATTACTACCGTCGTATACGACGCTTCCGAAGACCGTTTAACGACGTTGACACGTTAAAACTGTAGCGTACCTCGAAAGACCACCTCCTGAATGGTTGTCTTGCTGCTCGAGCGCATTTCTAAAGCCATATCGTGAAAAAAATGCTAAGGCACGAACGCATCTTAGGTTTAACATTGCACGCGACTGCTATTCAGCATAACCTCAAGGAAGAACGGCTGACATTCGTGCATCGTGACAGCGTGCCAAAGACCCAACTCCATAGCCTTTCTGATCTAAAGATACCTCTGTTGAAAAAAATAAGTACCTGTGGTGTGGAAACGATTTACGGCAACGAAGGATGCCTTGCCTGTCACTCGAGCAATTTGCGAGGCACGAACAACGGAGTGGGTAGCTTCGGATGTCCATCTGTGAAGCCTTGGACGGAGCTCGCATATCGCATCTGCAGTGAAATCGCGAATCTCATTGCATTCATGAAGTTGAAACGCACTGCGGTCACCAAAGCAACCAGCAGATCAAGCCGTTTGAAACTCTCACAAAGTGGCCAAAACCCACCGCAATCACCCGAACGTAACTACAGTTCCCTGCCCTCGAATTTCGAAAGTGACCAGCGACATCCATCCAACTGACGTCGGTGGGGTGGATGTCGAAGCACTTGACTTCCATCACAGAGCTGCAAATACTTGTTCAAGCAGGTGCGCAGCGGTTCAAAGTGGTGAAGAGAAGAAACCGCTTCAGAGCGCACAGCATCGTACTCAAAAGCTTGAATCCCAGCAAAACGTGGAGCAACTCCTGCGCTTAGATGGCTGGTCTGGAGGGCAAAACAAACCTCGTGCGGAATGATTTGGGCCTGAGGCTCCACTCGCACGCAGGGGTTCGTAGACGGCTGGCAAATGGTGTGCAGTGCACCCACTGTTGCGCTAGCATATCTTTTAGGTGCTGTTCTGTTGTTCTCATCGCCGCACCGCTGGTAAAATTCGTACACCCTGTTTCTCACTACTATGAACTGTGCCGAACTGGTGGAAAACCTAGTTACCTTCGATTTGTCTGATTGAACCATACCGAGACTTAATCTAACCACTGTTAACCTTGCTTTTCCCATCTTGACTTCACTAAAACCGGATTCACAATGGCGAGAAAGAGGGTGTATTAACTTCAGGTGCCTTTTTGGCTGACTTGGCAACACATGAAGGTTCAGTTATAACCTAGGTAAACTTCTCGTTTGAACAACTCAAAGGTTCATACGAGCAGGAACAGTAAAACACGGGCGAATCCGCGACCGCTTCCGCGTGCTCGCGGAATCGATCTGCCCGCGGGCAAGAAAAAAATAAAACCCATCCGGAAGGCACGCGGCTCGGGAGGCATCAACCCTAAAAAATTAGGGTTGAGGCTCCCGAACGGCATGCCGGTCGCGATGGGGAATAGTTTTTTTTGCCCCCGGGCAGACAGCTTCCGCCGGCTCCGCGTCCTGATGGAAACGACTTCCACCAGGAGGGGCACCTGGTGGATTCGAATCCACCAGGGCTCGGATGGACTCACCAAACTTGGGTCTGCCCATCGGGAACCCGGTCTGGCAGAAATGTGAACGCAGGTTTCGAGAGACCCTTCATTCCTCCACCTACGTAGGTTTCGAGTAGCAAGGACTCTGAGAAAATATTTTCTTGAAATTTGATTTCGGTCGGTAGTTGGGCGTTCAAGCTGCTCTGAGTAATTTTTTGGCTTTTTGTTCCAGCCCCGTTATCAGTGGTGCGGGGGTGATTTTACCTCAAGAGGCCAAACCAGCGGTGCGGACCAACTGCCTGGCGAGGTATTGGCGTGGAACAAACGGGCGGTTCTAGTACAGTGTCACAAAAGTGCTGTTCTGCATGTTTTCTCGGTTTTCTTGATGCGCCCAGCTTCGGACAGTGCCCAACCTGAACCGACGCACCACTGGTGCAGATGGAAGAATCCGCGAAAGCCATTCTTGGCCAAAAGAACAGCGCCCTAGTTTTAGGCATACTGTACACCTGATGCACGTTTGAGTCCTCCCTACTTGGGTTATTCTCTGGGCTTATAAACGTTTTAGGCATTTCGCCCAGTTCGTTCCATTTCGCCAGGGTGTTGAGGTGCTTCCAAAAAACACAGGTTGTAACTCGTTTGTTTTTTCCAAAACAGTTATGGTGGGCCTGTGTTGTTGTTAGTTCAGGGTTTAGGGTTTATACTTGTTTCTGGCCAAGAAACAAGAACAAACCAGGTCAGCATGGTTTGTTTTGTGCCTAAGATTCATACTTTGGCGTTTTCTTGCGGGTTTTTAGTTTATCGAGAAGTAATACCGGACAAAATTTGCTCCGAAGGACACAACATGATTAGTTTATCGTGCATTTTCAATATGAACGTGTTTACTTATTATGCAGGTTATGAAGTCGAAACGTGATTGGTCGAAAAACGACACAACATATATTTAGGGAAGTATCAACCCTAAACACCATGCGGCAGGGTGTTTAGGGTTGATCCCTCCCAAAAATACATCCGAAAAACCATATACCCTAACGGGAAAGGGATCCCGTGTTCAGGGTTGAGTGTCAGATTTACATGACATAGCTGTTGTAGGCTATAGTGGGGTAGCACATATGGGGTACAAGTTTCTAGGCTTGTATTTGTACCCAATCTTTCCTTAGTCATTTCATTCCTGTTCTTCAGTTTCACATGGTATAGAGCAGGTTCCCTGTGGGAACTTCGCCTAGGGCCCACCGAAGCGCGCCCCGAGGCGCGCGATTCTTTTTTTTAGCGACCCTCCGAGTCGCCCTGTCCCCTTGCGACTCCGCCGCCCTTCAGACGCGGTCCCGCCGCCCTTACTAGCGGCCCAGCCGCCCTTACTAGCGGCCCAGCCGCCCTTTCTAGCGGCCCCGCCACCCCTTCGCGCGGCCCCGCCACTTCGTAGCGGCCCCGCCACCCAGACGCGGCCCCGCCACCCAGTCGCGGCCCCGCCACCCAGTCGCGGCCCCGCCGCCCAGTCGCGGCCCCGCCGCCCGTTCTGATCGCGGCCCCGCCGCCCGTTCTGATCGCGGCCCCGCCGCCCAGTCGCGGCCCCACCGCCCTGTCGCGACCCCGCCACTTCGACGCGGCCCCGCCATCCCTTCCCGGCCCCGCCGCCTTTCTGCGGCCCGACCACCGCCCTACCACCGGCCGTCCCGCTGCCCTACCTGCGGCCCTACGCCGCCTCATCTGCGGCCCACCCGCCGCCCTACCCGCGGCCCTTCGCCGCCCTATCCGCGGCCCTTCGCCGCCCTACTTGCGGCCAGCCACCGCCCTACCTGCGGCCCACCTGCCGCCTTATCAGCGGCCCGCCCGCAGCCCTACCTTCGCGGCCCAGCCGCCCTACCTACACGGCCCCAGCAGCAGCCGAGCCGCCCAGAGCAACCGAGCCGCCCGGAGCCGCCGAGCCGCCCGGGAGACGCCGAGCCGCCCAGCAGCAGCCGAGCCGCCCAGAGCAACCGAGCCGCCCGGAGCCACCGAGCCGCCCAGGAGCAGCCGAGCCGCCCAGGAGCCGCCGAGCCGCCCAGCCGCAGCCGAGCCGCCCAGCAGCTGTCGAGTCGACCTGCTGCTGGGCCACCCGACCTGCCCTGTCTGGTGAGCACAGCACTGCCCTACTGCTACTGCGTGCCCTTCCCCACTGCTTGCACTGCTAGTCTGTCGTCATGGCTACCCCCAGTGTCCTAGCGTTTGACGCTGAGGGCAGAGCCATTGACTTTGAGGTCTGGGTCGATGACCTGCAGTTGTTTTTACAGTGCGATAGGGCAGACGGCCTTTCTCTCTTTGACCTCACCTTTGGCGCTGTCCCTGCCCCTGCTGCTGATGCTGACGCCACTGTTCGCTCTCAGTGGGCCACCCGCGATGCTGCTGCACGTCTTGCTGTGCGTCGCCACCTCCCTACCACTGAGCGCGCGCACTTTAGTCAGTACAAGAGTGCTCAGACCTTGTACGACGCTGTAGTTGCGCGCTACTCTTCCCCTGCCACTGCTGCACTGAGCCGTCTCATGCTACCGTACCTCTTTCCTGACCTCACTGCCTTTCCCACTGTCGCTGACCTCGTTACGCACCTCCGCACTAGTGATGCTCGCTACCGCGCTGCCCTTCCTACTGAGTTCTGCGCCAAGAACCCCCCCCCCCATGTACATCACTCTCTACTACGTAGTCGCACACCTCCCTGACTCCCTTCGCGTAGTCAGGGACCACTTTCTCTCAGTCTGTCCCACCACCCTCACTGTCGACCTCCTCGAGAAGGCCCTCCTAGCGGCGGAGAAGAACATCGTCGCTGTAGGAGCTTCTCGTGGTGACCCTCGCACCCCCATCTTTGAGGGTTGCTCTCCTTCCCCCCTGCTGCCCTCTGTTGCCTCTGCTGCTGCTGCCGACCTGCTTGGTCTTGAGTCGGTCGGCGCGGCGTCTGCCCCTAGTGGGAGACGCCGCTCTGGCAAGGGCAAGGGGGGCAAGGGCGCGGGTGGAGCTGGAGGGGGCGGTGGAGGTGGCGGTGGAGGCGGCGGAGGGAGTGGGGGTGGCGGCGGGAGTGGTGGCGGAGTCGGTGGTGGTGTTGGCAGCGGCGGAGGAGGCGGCGGTGGTGGCGGCAGCGGTGGAGGTGGAGGCGGCGGAGGAGGCGGAGGAGGAGGCGGTGGTGGCGGAGGGGGTGGAGCTGGTCGGGGTGGTACCTCGCAGCGGAGCGGCTCTGGCAGTGGTCAGCGTCAGCAGCAGCAGCAGCAGCAGCAGCAGCAGCGTTCGCGGGACATCCCTCCGCCCCAGCAGCTCCGTGAGTGGTACACTCGGCGTCAGAGGGGTGGGGGTACTGGTCCGTGCACCTACGTCCTTCGTTCCGGCGACCGCGCGGGTGAGTAGTGTGGGGGTGCCCACCCCACCCAGCGCTGCTTTGGCCGCCTGACGGACGCCTGGCGTCAGCAGTTCCCCGAGGCTAGTGAGATTCCCAGCTGGGATGAGCTGTCTAGGGCTGGTGTAGCTATCTTTGATCTTGACTTTGATGCTATCCTTGCTGCTATATATGCTGTGACTATTAGTGAGGAGGGTGACTGTTACCGGTGTTTCCCGCCCGACCCGGGCATTGGTACTGCTGCGCTAGGTGCTTGTGAGACTGCTGCTCTAGGTG